TTGATTTGTTATATATCTCTTCAATCATGCCTTCATAGCTTTAGGGCTGAATGGTCTGAATATAGGATGAAACTTGCAAAAGGATTGTCAGTAATAGATTAGTAGGTTTCTGAAATACAAATAAAGGCTTTTCTACAGATTATTGAACATTGTACGGATAACTGTTAAGATGCTAATGTCTTTGTGCAAATGTAAATAAAAAACTATATTTTTTAGAGATGATACCCTTTGATCATTGCTTTATCTTTTTGGAGATATGAAATTCTGAAAAATAAAATGCCGACTGGGGGGAAGCCAGTTTCAGATTAGAGGAGGGGCCCAAAGCCCTGTCAACCTATGGTCAAGATTTTTGTTTTAATACTTGTGGGGCACTATATATGTTTTATATTTAAGTTGCATAAAATATTGTTCTAGAATTTTTTCTTATTCATATTTACTATGTTAACCTACAGAATGAGGTTTCAAAAAGAAGGTCCTGCCAGTGGAACATCAACTGCCAAAGAAAGGGTTTGACCATAACGAGCTGCTCAAATCTAAACATGTTACACAAGCAAAAGCCTATAAATGGGAATAGTTGAGACTGCAAATTGTATGGAAAGCCAAAAGTGCCATTCATTCAATACATTTAATAAGTGTCAGTAGGATTTTTTTAATTGAAGTTATTAGTCATTATTAAATACATATTTTTATTTCATGAGCATGTGCCAAATACCTCATAAATATATCTTATCTCTGTCTTTAGAAGTTTAAATCCTTCTTGCTGCAAAAAAAATCAGTTACAGTGAAAATGGATTTGTTAGGTCATCTGCAGATGACCTTCATTATGTGCTTTAGCACAAGAAGCCATAATAACAAAGCTAAAAATGTACACTTTTAGGCATAACTTTATCTAATAATTATATTTTTTTTATTCCCTAATAAAACATTGATTGATTCATTAATCAAAGCTTTAGATCTAAGTTTATTACATACAAGAGTTTAATAGACTAAGGTTAAACTTGGGGTGGGGGTTTCCACAAAACATGCATGTCATGGATGGGGGCACGTATCAGTTTTCGCATTCAGGGCTCAACCAAGGCTGTCAGCCGGCCTGATGAAGACTTTTGGTCTGTGAAAACTTGGAATCATTCAGTATGATGACCTTAAGTAAAATTGAAACAGTTTTGTTCCCTGTCTTTGCTAGATCAAGTTATAATTAAGACCAGACCAATGGGTATTGTGAGAAGTTTTGAATTTGACTGATATGACTACATGCTGCGGTGGAAGTGAATAAATAGACAATCCTACTGTAAAGCCTTAATTCAAGAAAGATTTTGACCAGAACAATTTTTCAACATGTTTGCCATGTTCTCTACATGGCTTGTGAAACTTGTAACTAAACCTTGTATGACTCCATCTCAGCAATGGTTTTCTTTTCATCTTTCTCTCAGAGGCCTGATTTGTGGACTGCACACCTAAGAGTTATCCTTTCACAATGCTTTCCACCAGAGTGGACCCCCATCTTTGGAGGTCCCTCCAGACTTTCCATTCTCCTTAAATGCCTTTCTGGTTGATGCTGTCCTTGTTGAGCCTATTAGTTTACACAGAGAGCCATGTATTGGTAGGGTTGAAGTTGTGCCACACTTTTTCCAATTCCAGAGGATGTGTTTTATAAGATGCAGGGGTAACATTTGTCACTATGAAGTGAGAAATTGTGAAAAAAAGTAAAATGGGGAAGAGTATCCCTTTTAAGTTCTACCATATATTCTGTGTTCAGTCAATTCTTTGAGATTCCAAACTACTTCATCCAAACCATGGCAACATAAGCTAAAATCATGGAGTAGTTATGTCCTAAAATAAATCAGTAGATCTGGAAGCCCCGGAATTCAAATGTTTTATGGCAATATCTTTCAGAGTACGTAGTTGCAAGACAATCGCACCTTCAACAAAACCAAAAATATTCTTATGTGATTGTGCTGCAGGCGCACGCCAGTGGACAGTGGTAAAGCTATCCTATTTTAGCTTCCCTTCTTTGGCTTTCTGCTTAAATCCGGAATAGAATTATAAACCCACCTTATGTACAAAACGCAAAATATCCAAGCTCCACTTTAGATCAGATTTTTCCTTATGTTCCTAATAGAGCACTTTGCTCTCAGTCAGCTGTTTGACTAGTAGTGTAGACATCCTGTCTGGTTTTAAGATCAAGATTAAAGCCTTCCTATTTAGTAAACCTATAGTATAGCTATCTCTATCTTTATGCTGCCATTGGCCTAGGCTGCTGGAGGACAAAAATTGCACTTTTCAGCATTCTGCTATGTTACTTCGAAATCTAAGTTTATATTCTCTCTCCTTTTTTAGATCATGTTAACTACATCAGCTGTTCTGGTGTCAATAATTCCTTGTCATAGATGGGTGACGTAGTTATTGGCTCAGCTTTTACTGCAACTAACTCTATGTCATTTTTTTCATCCTTTTTGACATGAAAACAGACCTAGAGCTTAACTGTGGATCAGTGGATATGATCCGTGATCCATAAGTACCTCAAACTATGCTGAGAGCTGATGAAATGTTGCTTATTTAAGTTTAAAATGATGGAGATATTTTTGGTTTTTACATAGTATTGTTTACATTTACATTGTCAAAACACATTAGAACCATAGCAGATTCAACACACACACACTTTCTACATATGTGATCTGAAGTATGAAAAAGACCAATGTGAAGACCAATAAATCCTATTATGTTAGTTTGCACTCTTAACTCAAGTAAAAAGTATGCGGCGTTCCCCCCTTAAGATGGGGACAAAGACCTAGATTGTATGTGGTATCTGCCGCTCACAGACTGCCAGTCTGGGTCACTGAGCAAAGACCCTTAACCCCACACTGCTCCCCAGGCGCCGCACAATGGCAGCCCACTGCTCCCCAAGGGTTAAATGCAGAGTTGATATTATTTTATGTGATAGGAAAACACAAACAATAATTTGTGAAATGAAATCTGTGAAATTCAAAATAGAAAAAAAGATGTGGTGTGTATGTATTTTGCCCCAGAGTTAATACTTTCAACACAAACTGTTAGTCAGTCTAGTTAACTTCTAGTCTAAAAAAAACGGGGGAAAAAACAAAAAAAAAACAGCAGCTGCTGGAGCCACTAAACAAGGGTATAACAAATACTAACTTTACTGGTGAAATAATACATGACACATTACTCAAGTGGTACAACAAATGCATTTCGGTGATTAGTAATCACAAGATATCTCTTCTCCCTCTCACAGAGACTCATTACACTACTTCTAATGTGCCTCCATCAATGTGTATCCACCACAGATGCGAGAACACCAAAATCACATCATGTGCACACATGAAAGCTTTGGACAAAAAAGGGATATGGTGACCTTTCTGTAGGATTAAAAAGGACCTTCTACCAGCTTCTTTAAAAGCATCACTATATTAATGTATCCTGGCTTTATAAACATACAGACACATGCGGTGAGTCAGGTTTATTTCAATGTGTTCTGAGTACGAGTCTGGATTGTGATCAACACTCTGGAAAGAAACATGAAAAACAAACCGTGGTCTCTGCTTGTAACTGAGTTTATTTTAACCCAATGGTGCAATAAATGATGCGGAAAAACAAGCAGAGGTCTTTTATGGAACCCGGCAACTGATCTGCTCAGAAAAACACCCGGCTTCAAGATTCCTATATGAATGAAAAAAGGACACAAATAGGATTAACAGGAACATCACAGAAGATACAATACACTGTTTTCGTATTGCCTCATGTTATAAGTGCACCTTTTAATGAGTTTTATGAGGCTTTTCCATGGTTGAATAACACAATGTAATCCATTAATGTAAATTGTGAGGAAAATTACACATAATTTCCAATTGCCTGTTTTTTTCCCCTACATTTTTAAAATAAAAATATTGTGTAGATCTAAATTGATCCTCCCTTATTCTAAACCCAGCTGTTTCGTCTAGGGTTCTCTCCAGCAGCTGAGATGATATGCCTAGGCTGCTGGAGGACAAAAATTACACTTTTCCACACTCTGCTACGTTACTTCGACATCTAAGTTTATATTCTCTCTCCATTTTTTATAATTGTATCTACATCTGGCCTTCTGATTGGAGACATCAGCTGTTCTGGTGTCAACAATTCCTTGTCATAGATAGGAAGACAAAGTTATTGGCTCAGCTTTTACTGCAACTAACTCTATGTGCATTTTTTTTATCCTTTTTGGCATGAAAACAGACCTCGAGCTTAACTGTGGATCGGTGGATATGATCCGTGATCCATAAATACCTCAAACTATGCTCAGAGCTGATGAAATGTAGCTTATTTAAGTTTGAAATTGAGATATTTTTGGTTTTTACATTGTATTGTTTACATTTACACTGTCAAAACACTTTAGAGCCTTAGCAGATTCAACACAGACACACTTTCTACATATGTGATCTGAAGTATGAAAAAGACAACAATGTCATAAGCAGAAAATCTCATCATGTTAGTTTGAACTCTTAACTCAAGTAAAGAGTATGCAGTGAAGAGAAGGGACAAAGACCTAGATCGTATATGGTATCTTCACAAATGATTTACCATCAGTTTTGTGTAAAGCGGCTTACACAATGCAATAGAATGGCTTTTCCATGATCGACTAACACAATGTAATGTGTTAATTTGAATCGGGAGGAAAATTATACATAATTTCAACTGCTTGTTTTTTCCCCCTACATTTTAAAAATAAGAATATGGTTTAGTTCTAAATTGAAGGCTTAATTGGCAGCTTAATGTTTGCCATCTTTTATTGAGGCAGCCACTTTAGCATCCTGTGAATGTTGTAATGACATCCAAAGGTTTATGAGGACTTCTTTCATGCTGTGGTTCACATTCAGGAATTTGAATGTCACCCACTTCAAGTTTTAAATACTCAAACATCCAGAAAACACATGGGCATGAGTTGTGTACTTATTTGAAAACCACCGTGTAAGAGATTTTCTGTACTGAAATTATGCACACACAAACTGTAGACTTCTAGTTTTATTGTTCAAGAAAGATGAACGAGAGAAAAACATGCAAAGTGTTCCTCTAATCTGAGTTGCTGATATCTGGGTGATGATTAAATGAGTGGTGTAAATAATCCTCTTTCATAGCAAATCAGGAGAAGAAAATGCCATAAGAACATTTTTCATCCATAAACAAGAACAAGTATTTTGCAGACCAACATTCTCAGTTTTTATACAATCTCTCATTTGCTTATTGATGAAATGATAATACTTTCAACAATTGTTAAAACCATAAAAATTTTGGGAAATAAATGATAATCTTAAAATCTGAAGAATAACAGTCATATGATACATTTGTTTTATTATGGTCACACAAATGACCTGGGGATTTGCTGTAAAGCTGCAGAATCTGAAGGAAAACAAACTTGAGAAACTATGAAGCAATAAGCTGTGAATCTTATCACCGGGGTGCTGTTTATCTGCCTGCGTTCAGGACTGCTTCACAGATTTGTTCAAAGCAACTAAAAGGAAAAGCAAGCAGTAAAACAGGCACAGAGATTTTTAAAATGCCACACTCCGCTTTGCTCTCTGTTTTAATCAGCTTTGACTTTTATACAAAGTCCACTCTGAGGCCCTGAAACATATTTAACGTTCAGGTAAAGCTCCCTCCTTGAAGCATATCATCAGATGGGAAAACCACCCACTGTTACATGCAAAACAAGCTGATTTTAATCAGGTACATTAAACATAATTACAACCATTGATACTAACATCTCTGATTTTTGTTTTGATTAAAAAAAAAGAAAAATACCTTTACAGGTTCTTTACAAATCAGCACAAATGTGAAATTAATCCCAAAAAACCTCTTGCATACAAAAATACATCAGATCTAGCATTTCAAAAATAGCCCCTTATCACAGATCTACACATACAGGAGTGCATCTTAATAAATTAGAATATTGTTGAAAACTTTGTTTATCTCAATAACTGAATCGAGAAAGAGCCAACACCCAGCAAAAATATTTAGTGTTTATTTCTGTAATTTTTGATGATTTTGGCTTAAAGCTAAGAAACACTAAAGTATCTATAGAAATTTAAAACATTTAATACTTAAAAAAAAAGAAAAAATGATTTTTTTTTTAAATATATAATATTTTTTTAACCCTAGTATAGATTTCACTATTACAGAAGATTAGCAAAAAAGGGTTAATTGCAGAATACTCTGCTTCTATAGCGCCTGATCCAAGGAACTACACAGAAAGTTTGGTGGAAGGAAAAATTATGGATGAAAAGGTGCATTAGCGGCAGGGACCTCGCCCTTGACAGGGTGATGAAGTAGTAGAATATATGCATACCTTTCTCCAAGCAACTCGAGTTTCCTTAAGACCTGAAGGCCTTCATTAATCCACCAACTGATGCAAAAGGACCCCTGACCAAGTACTGAGCAAACTTACTCTACAGCACATGAGCAAACCTTTAAGCAAACAGACATTTCTGCTTTCCTTTCACCTTATTTTTATTTATTTCAAGCTTATCTCTTAGAATGTTCTTCATAAACTATATAAGCCAAAATCATCAACATTGATAGAAATAAACAGACAAAATAAATCACTGTGCTTAATCTATAATCACAGAATCACTGAAATAAATAAACTTTACAATGATATCCTAATTTAATGAGAAGAACTTCAGGTCATTTGGCTTCTCCTCGCTGCTCTATAATAGATGAAGTTCACTGAATAAAGTGGCTGCAGTAGAGAGGCGCCAGCTGGATGCAGTTTAAACTCTACAATGCTGGAAGAGAACAGTTGAGATCATAAAGCACAATGAAATCAGCCAAAATTACGTGTCTGAGCCTCCCTGAATACAGAGATAACTGCTAGATGTGTGACTGCTGCATGCAGGCATTTTAAACACGTTTTTCATTCTACCCAGTAGATCAGTCTCCTTCTCTTTTTCACTGGCAGCATCTCGCTGTCACAGTTTAAGAGCCTTTTAAAGCATCATTCCACCCCCCGCCATAAAATCTACCCTGAATTTCTAATTTATAGAATCCATTCACTAATGTGACGGATGCCTCGCCAGACATGACAGCTGCTGTGATGCACTGATGACTATAAAGAAAGTATTTGTAGCTAAACACTGACAGGAGATTGAGGCTCAGGGAGGCTTGTTTTTTTCCGGAAAAGGAGGGCTGGGTGGTTTAAAGTCACACACAAAAGAGGCGGGAACCTCCTCTGCCTTCCTCGCCTTCTCCCTGTGGGATGCGGGGAAGCATAGCTGAACGGGTCAAACCCCAAAAGCGAGGCGGAGACAAATCCTTCTTTGTGGCTGTGAACTTCCAACCCATATGAGAGCCGCAGGTCCGGCACTGAGCGATAGTCCAGGCGTACCTGAGAGTGAAGGGAAATTCAATAATAAGTCAAAAAGAATAATTCAATACAACTACACATTATACTACTATACTAATACTGTGTCTACAAATGACTTTGAAAAAAACAAAGTTTTCTTTGGGCTGACTATATATTATAATGGATCTTTTCCCCTGAGTTTTCCTACTGTCAGACAATAAAGGATGTTTCTATTCTATTCTATTCTATTCTATTATATTCCAGGGTTTATACAGGAATTAGTAGCTCTTATTTAATGCTTTTTAATGCTCTTAGAAAATAATTTTAATGACATCAACAAGTACTCATGACTCTCATATATACACGGCAAAATCTTTCGTCATCTTTACCCTGGACATGCTGCAGCCATGTTCCGAATTCCTCGTTTTCCTGCCAGTTTTGTGGAAATGTGTACAATTTCCCATTCTCTAGCTTTTTCTCCGCCTCGAGCTTCTTTCCCGAACAAACGGCTTTACAATCAACCAGAAGCAGTTCCACGCAAATATATCGCAATATATCTGACGAAATTGTTTTTATAAACTTTTTTTTTTTAAATAAGACATTTTAAATGCCACGATAATCACATTTAATGAGTTTTAATGCCAATTAAGGCCTTAATTTAAAAAATAATAATTTAATGACTTTAATGATTTTTAATGACCTGCAGAAACCCTGTATTCTATTCTATGTTTTTAAGTCTAAGTTCAATACTTTTTCATAGATATCTCAAGTCTCTTTATATAGGGGCGACAGTGGTGTCGGGTGCAGGAATTTGGCCTGCAAAGGAAGGGCTGTCGGTACGAGCCCTTGGCTTCTGCCTTCATAGTTGTTGTGTCCTTGGGCAAGACGCTTTACCTGCATTGCCCTGAGGACTCTCTGGCACCAGCGTACGGCAGCACAGTGAGCCCCAGGGCAGCTGTGGCTACAGTGTAGTTTGCCACCATTAGTGTGTGCGTGAATGACTGAATGTAGTGCAAAGCACTTTGGTCACGTCCTCTGACTTGAAAAAGCATTGTATCAGAACGGGCCATTTTCCATTTTATTTAAAGCAACAGTGTGTGACTTTTACCCACTAGAGGTGCTGGAACTGTAATTAATCTATTATTTCAACAATCGATTAAACTAATCTATTGTTGCAGACAAAATGAAAACACAATAGTCAGAAACGGGCATGCATACATCAATGCAGATTATAAGGTTATAATGACGGATCAGAAAATTGCAAAAATTACAAATCAGTGGTGTTTTCATGTCCTAAAATCATCACGTATGGCTTTTTTTTCTACTACTGTGAGGCCGCATCAGCTCTGCAGGCAGTTCCGACACATAGAGCGCTAAAGGTGTGCTCTGCTATCCGATAGAATTTGTCTTGTAACTTCGCTTCTTCTTTTTTTGATAGTGACTGAAATATATCTGTTGAAAAAGCCGATTCTTCACCGCTTAGAGCTGCTAGCCTCCGTAGAAACAATCCGTTTATGTGCTGAGGTTCTCCTTATACGCCAAAAAATAGTCTAACAAAATCACAAAATTGTTTTTCAGGGCGATTTAACCACATCAGCAACCACTCATTTCAGTGGTGGGACATTTATTTCAACAGCTTTTTGTTAGTGTCACCAATCACCAGAGATGATATTTTATGTGGAAGCTGTCCTTGACTTTAATCCGGATAACTCTTCTCCAGTTTAACTAAGAACTTTTTTTAAATTGTTTAATAGGTTTTCTCTCTTTCTTCGTTCATTTTTGCATTCTGATTTTCTTTTTTTTTTTTTGCCAAACACACCACTGGAGTAGACACTGTTAGTTTGACCCCTAAGAATCTCTGTTGAGGCTTTGGGCCCTGATCCGATTACAAACGACCTTTTAAACTTTCCAAAAGCATCCAGAATCTTAATCCTGAATCGAAGTCATTTAACTTTAAAAACATACACAAAATAAATAATAGAAATTATAACAGCAAGCAAATGATATGCTTCCTCTAAACAGACAATGCTCTCACAACCAGTGACAACTTGTCTTCTCAGTGCTGTTAGAGACACACAGCCTGGGTGAAATACATATCCATTTACAACTTGAGTGAACTCTAAAGAAATAAAGAACAAGAGAGACTCTCTCCAATGCTGGGTTTACACGGACAAAGCAGGGGTGTCAGCGAAAGTATAACCTATCATTTTTGTGTTCATAAATAAGTTATTTTTATTCATTTTGTAAAAATAACAGCTCTATTATTGTTCATTCTTACAACAATATCATATGTACAGTTCCTAAATTCAACTGTACTACATAATTCATTTTATCTGAAATCAATACCTTTGATTTTTGAAACCAAGACATTTGAATGATTCCGTGTTAGAGTGGAAACATTGGTTAAAAAACAGGAAAGCCTTACTTATAAGTGTATGAGTATCTTTTCCCTTAAAATTAGATTATTAGATAACATGCATTTCAAATAACTTAATGACATTAATTTTTGTTCTTATTTTATATGTATATTATCTTATTAAACTGGCCAAATGTCTAACCTATCAGCTTGAATCAAGGAAAAATTAAATTATTATGAGAAAAACTTACTTTTTTTCTTTTTTGCAGTGTATGTTTTTAGAACAGGGGTCTGGACCAATTTAACAGGGGTCCTGGCCCGTTGGTCCCCAATAAAAAAAAAAAAAAAACACCCCTGTTCTCAAGAATTTAGATATGAAACAGAGGAGTGTACATGCAATTAATTATTGGTGAATTCCTCCCTAGTTGTTCTAAACACAATGAACAGGTATGGTTCTGAGTCCTGGGGGAGAGTTACCCTGGAAACCAGCTGTGCAGTGTGGATGGCCTGCCGACCAGGTTCAGGTTGTTGGCTTTGTAGACAGTCAGAGTTTCATGAACATAACCGTGAGGGTTGACGTATGCAGCCATGGGACCGTACAAGGACAAACTGGTGGAGCAGAAAGAGGCAGATGGAACAAGGCATGAGCTGGGATTCGGATTCAGTCAAAAACTAAAGCACCAGAAGGAAACTTGAGATTCACTGAAGGCTCCAAAAATACCTTCAAACAGTAAAAATGTGATGTTATCCCTCTGCACCTGAATGCAACTCTTAAACAGCCACATGACCATGCATGGCAAAAACCTGGAGCTGCACAATATGCTGAATCTTAAATATTTTCAAAATGTGCAAAAGCACAAAGCAAACAAATGTTTGAATACAGTGTTTGGTTTGCTATCATCTTTTGGCTGTATTGCATTCAAATTCAAACCAGACTTCTAGGGCTCTTTCTGCAGCCACTGTGCTCAGGGGAAGCAGTGGAAATATTATAAAGAGACAGTGAATAAAAAGGGGGTTGATCTTTATTATTAGTGGCGTTCCCACGTTTTCTGAACATCGTGGCCTAAACAAACCTTAAATCACGCATTTAAATCCAATTTTAGTCAATTACTTATTGATTGATAGACTTTATTGATCTCACAGTGGGGAAATTGACTTGTCACATCTGCTCAATAGTCAAAAAGAAGGTGCCAAAAGGAGGAAAAGGTGCATGTGGTATATTAAATGTAAGAATCAGCAGCAACCTAATCTTACCAAAGATAAAATAATCTTGTCTTTATGGCATATGAAACATGCCCTAAAAAGGTCAATACAGGGAATCGTTTTTGGGGAGGTTCCCAATTTCAGTATTTAGCTAAACAGCTACATGTAGTAGAATATATGCATGCAGCACTAAAGGTCACCTTTCACTCCAATATTATACTAACACAGCCTGTTTTATTAATCCTTTGTGGGTTCAGTCAAAATTATAATAATCCAAGCTGGTTTAGATTTTTAAAATAATGTCCATTGATACAATTTTTCTGAGTTTAAAAGAATGAAGAAAATAGTACCTTTTAGTTGTCTATATAAAGCCCCAAACTCACTGCGGATCCAGACATTCCTGGAGGGGAAGCGGAACGTCTTCAAACCTTTGGAAACCAAGTCCAGTGGATTGTTTTTTAACTTTTACAGAACTTTTAGTTGCTTTAAAGTAACTAAGAGTTGATTGCAGTTCAGCAACTCCTGATAAAACCCTAAAAGTACAGACTATAATCCAAACCTCACTGCTCTGCTGCTTGTTGTTGTAAAACATAATTATGGTAACGCAATTATGTATTTCTTAGACCCAAAATTGAAAATGCATCATCAGAAAACAGCTCTTATTTTTCAAAGGAAGTGCTCCTTACAGAGCTGTAATTACTGAATGTCAGCATCAGAAACTGGCGGCACAGATAATAATATGTTGACTCTGATAATCTGGGTGGCAGGAAAACTATCCAGCGAGGGTCTGGACAATTTCCCATGTCTTCAGGCTTTTGTGTCGCCTCTGAACAAAGACATCTCCTAAAACAGATCACAGACAGCTTGAAAATGACATTATATAACAGTGACTGTCAGTGCGGAGGTGTCGCTTTTGCTCGTGACGTAAAATTGTGAATCTACAGCTTCCAGGCAAACAGACCTCAACTACAATGCCTTTCTAATGACAGTGATTACAGAGCAGGAGACATAGAGTATTTTCTTTTCATTTTTGCAAAATTCAGCAGTATTCCTCTGAACATCATTTTCTTTACAGCACATTACAGATCATTTGTTAACTTACTCACTGTTCACAAACTTTAAAATCACAAACTTAAGCTTATGTTTTTTTTTTTGTTATAACTTTGTGTGATAGAAAAACACAAATTAGTCAAATCTGTGAAATTCAAAATAGAAAAAAGTTACAAAAATGTGGTGTGTATGTATTTTCCCCCAGAGTTAATACTTTCAACACAATCTGTAGCTCTACGTCTTTTGGAGAATGCCTTCATTACATTTCCACTCCTGGTTTAAACTACTTAGCATTTTCTTTTTGGATCAGATTGAGTCAAACTATATCCAGAGTTTTTAAAGCTTTCAGGATGTAGTAGACTTTTGAAATGCAGTGAACCTATTGCTGTATTTTTGGTCATTTCTTTATTACAGCTAGAAACAGCTAGTCAGAAACAGCAGTGATATTGTCCATTAAAAACAAAAGAACCATCTATGTTGTGTGATATTCTAACACCCTAAACTCCAAGGAACAACAAGAAATCGAGTAAAATCCGTCCTTACCTGAAGATCTCATTCTTTGTAGTAATTTCTGTGTCCTGGCACTGTTTGCAGCACAACGACGTACACTAAGGAGGAGACATAATAAACGCAAATTAAAAGCTCATATGTGTCACTCACTGTCTTTGAGAAACGTTTAGCAATGACTCTAATGCATCTCAACCCTCTGTTTAAAGTATAATGAAGGCTCATCCTACATGTTATAACATTGGAAGGAAGGAAGGAAGGAAGGAAGGAAGGAAGGAAGGAAGGAAGGAAGGAAGGAAGGAAGGAAGGAAGGAAGGAAGGAAGGAAGGAAGGAAGGAAGGAAGGAAGGAAGGAAGGAAGGAAGGAAGGAAGGAAGGAAGGATACATTGGTTGAAATCAGTATACCAATGCTAACAGAACGATAATGGGCAAAGAGTGTCTCCATTAGAAACAAAGAATCAAAGTATATTAAAAAACAAAACACTGATAAGAAAGGTAGCTTTATTAAGCATGTGTGGCCCCTTCTGTCCAGCACACTGAAGTATCCCCTGATCTTAATCAGAACAGGAATGTAATACTATGAAGGCAACCTGATTTATTATTAATGACCATCCCTCTAAAGGGGGGGGGTTGGGTTCAAAACATGTCTACAAAGTGTTCTACAAAGGATTGACAAATTACTAAAATGAATCCTGTAGAGCATGGGGATGTTTGTATCAACATGATGGGACTTCTAGACATTCCTCTCCTAGGGGAGACCTGTCTGCAGGACTAAATGCGTGCCCTGACACATCCAGGGCTTAAACAGGGTGACAAAGACCAGATTGCTTTGTTATGTTTCATGTAAACATGTGCTAAAAGTAAAGTTAGTACAACGCTTTAACACTGAGTGCAATGCAAACCTTCCCTCTGCTGAGATTGATGAACTTCCTTCTGTTAAAATGAAATCAAACATTATCAAGTGAGAATGCATGAATGCCTGTTTCTCTTTTTTCATCTCTAACTATTCCCTGATACTTCTGCCGAATTCAGCAGTTTTGGTATCAAAATGGAAGGTTATTCTATATCTTTTGGTAATTTCTGCTATTATAATTTTTAAACATTAAGCTTTTCATGACATTTTTTGGCCCATCGAAATAAATGGGCTTCTGCTAAAATTCCACTAAAACTTAAGCTACTTTGCCCTTTAACTACTTCTACATACATTCAGATAGAAATACCATAAAAATGTAAAAACGTTTCCGCACCCTTCGGCAAGTAATGTATAACTCAGCTTTTTTCTATCTTCTACAGTTTTGCTTCAGTGAAGCTTCAAACTATTTAAGATTTTTTAAAGATTTTTTGTTTTATAATGGAACTCAATGACAGAATCTTGGTGCTCCTAGAGTGAGCCACTCTAACGCTTTCAAACATTTTACTTTTGGCAAAAAAACTTCTTACTCACCGAATGTTTAAACTACCCATACATATTATACATCAACCGTACATATTTTTGTAAGTTTTCAGGAAATGTAACCCTCCTTTGTGTGGGATTTAAAGTTTTCCTACAGTTTGATATCAATTTATTAAACATAGTTCAACACACACTTTTATCTGTTTTTCAAGTTTTGTCAATTTCACTCATATTTCACAGGGTGCTGTGTTTTTTCCAAAACATTTTGTACAAAAACAGCCCTAAAGCTTCGTTCCTCTATCCTTCATGAATTAAATGGTGCAAGAATTATATTGATACAACTTATTATGTCAGAGTTAAAGCACAAGATTGTACATGTGATTAAGAGAGGGAAAGTGAGGGGAGACAGTGGCTGAAAAGAACGTGTTTTAAAATGGATGCCTCTCCCACGTTATTTAATGTACAAACATGAAACTTTGAATGGAACATCTTCAGACCCTTCTAGCACTTATATTAAAGGAATTTTGCCATGCAGCTGGGTTGGATCTATTATAGTATTATTCTACACACGCCCATTAGAGTGTTGTGGCACATGTTGCTTTTCTAAACTTAAAAGTTTGTAAGCTTTTCTTATTGCTCATTCCTAACACTTTACCAAAGTTTGACTTTCCAAGTTTAGCTTATTTCTTATTAATTTTGTGTCCATATTTTACACTACTTAAACTTTTCAACACTTTAATTAAACTCCTGTCACACTAAGCTGCTCATTCAATACGACATTCCTCAACGTTTTAGTCTCTATCCTTAAACTAAAACTTTTATTTCTTCAACCAGATAAGATTTAAATTTTTTTTTGCTAATTTATTTTCTGATTCTGCTTATTTAATACATTTCAGCCTATATTTTCAACACTGGCTTAATTCTGCTCTCTTTTTGGACAGGCTTAAAGCTTTTCTGTTTGCTGCTAATTCATAACAGGCCTGGCATGTTTCTGCTGTTGGCTTCAGCTTACTTGTGTTTTTTTTTTTTTTTACAAAGAAATTAAGCATTTATCTTTTCTTCTATTTCATATCATTTCAACAGTTTCTGCCAATTTCAGCTAACAGTTTAGCGTACAGCATTCTCACGGCTGTTTGGCAGGTACAGGTTTTTTTCTAGTTTACTTAAATATCACAGTCAATCCACTCTGGATTAGATCTTCTGTTGGCTGAATCCAGGTCTGGTTTTATATGAAGTACACCAGAAAGAAAAACAGGCTCTGCAAATTGAATCTCATCACAACAGGAGAGAAACTTTGTCCACTTCTACGAGGACACAGCAGGTGGTGAACTTAGCTTACCCGGTCCATGATGTCCAGCTCGCAGCGGAGTCTCTGGATGGCGCTGCCAATCTTGAGCAGCTGGAGCCGCAGAGCGTCATCTATGGGCAGACAGGCAGCCACCCTGTAGGAGAAGTCTGACACAAACAAGGCCGAGGAAGAGAAGACGGATGACATAAAACAGGAGACAGCAAACACAGCACAAACAAAAGCCAGACATCCAGGGATGTGCATGATCGATGAGTAACAAACTGAGGAGTGGCTGACCTACGGCGTTTGTCGGGAGCGAATCATCTTTTAGATTCTCATCCCATTCGTGGAGCTGTTTCTTTACTCTGTTCATGAGGGACTCCTGTGAGGTTGACACAAAGGAAAAAAAAAGTTTACATTCACTTAGGTGAGATGTTCATTTGTGAAGGATGGTGCATGTTGTGTCAGCAGGCTGCTGCACTCACAGAGTCATAGAGGGAGTACACCCAGGGTGGCCATGGAGTCAGGCTGGCACTGTGAAACTTCCTCTGTAAACAGCAACAAATCAACCGCTGGTGAATCTAAGCTATGCAGATTTTACCTGAACATCTCCAACTTCTACTTAGACTACAGGCGTACTTGAACATCACAGAAATACATAACTATGCCTTTAAGTAGCAACTGATGCTAAGCAGACCTCTGCTATTTTTTCAAGTAGGAAAAAAAAAGAATATGAAACGTGTTGTGTGCATTTCTATTCAGCCCTCCTTTATTGTGATATTTCTAAACAAAACTCAACAGACATCAGAGGTCCCCTTAAAAGTAAAAAAGGTCCATCTGTAGTAGTTTTTTGAAGGCTTCTAAGGTCTGAACGACGCCACGTAGGTGACAGGGCCAATATCTGGAGCGATTACAGAACCCTGGACATTTATTTGACATGAAAAACACTATGAGCAGAGCAACACAAACACTGGACCAGAACCGTAGAGATAGGAGAGTTCTGCTAGAGGTTAGGTTGCTAGGGCATCCAATAGTTCAGCCCCCTTCAAAATACAGGCAGATCTGTGGCAGGCCCGATACAATTACAGAAAAGCTTACTGGTATTCCATATTGTTGTTTTTTTTGTGCCTATTTCAAAATCATATTAAATTGACTATATAATGTTTATAGATGCAACCTCCATCCATTTCTACTGCAATGCCCTGCTAACGCCTATAGTCTTGCTATCTATCCATCTAAATGGCTCTGCAATGGACATAACCTGTAACACACCATTACCATGGTGACACAGCATCATGCAGGATTGCGACTAAAATTCCTGGTAACTGACATACGCATGGCTCTCCATTAAATCTAAAAGCACATATTCACACACACTACACTTTCAGATTCTATTTGTATTATTTTGGTATTTGTGTAGAAACTCTTCAGCAAGGTGATGTACATAAACAGTTTGTGCATCATTGCAGCTAATGTCCTGTTTCCAGCTAAGGGTCCAAATCTAAACTATGAGTTGTGTGGATTTAATTTAGGTCAATCTGCAGGATACTCCAAGTGTCTAATAAATTAATTCTCCTGGTTCTGGGATGAAGCGAAACATTCATCTGACCTGCTGATTCAACCAATGCTGAGCCTGTTTACAGCTCTGAGCTCGGAGTTTGGAGGCGGGAGACATGTGGACCCTGGACAAGGACGTCAGTTGCACGACAGAGAGTGGGTCTGGCAGGATTCGTTCTGGGAGGATCTGCACTTTGGCTTGTTTGATTCTAAAAGGGACACACAAAGGGATGCATGACAGGAGGAGGTTGATGTTAGAACAAAGGCAGCAATGAGCTATTAAATGTCTAAAACTGGCATAAAACACATTTAATGCAAACTAAACTAATACAATGCAATATTCATATCAATGAAAAGCACCAAGATTTGATTTAAGTGAGCAATTGTTTAAATGCTCTCAGTTCTGGAGTTCTAACTATTATAGGAGCTTCTAACAAGATTATGACCAACAATTTATTTGAATTATACAATCAGAACTAAAAAAAGATGGAGATATTTCTTAATAAAGGCTGGTTTGTATTGGAAGGAACACAATTATTTCCTGACTGGAAGAGGATGGTAGTTAAAATGATCTAAAACAGTGATGTAAGAAGCCTTAATCCAGAACCTCTTTACAGAAAACAGAAAAATAGACAGACTGAAAAAAACAGTATATCCATGCTTTATTTTATCCACCTAAAATAACTATGGTTGAAAAATGTCAGTAACAAACAGATTTGTTTAATTATTTCATATCGCACCTAATGGCATGACCGGGTTGGTGGATGGTGTTTTCTGTTTTTCTATTGGGATCTCTCCCAGTTGCTCAAATCAAAGACATTTTTCATTTTTTTTGTATTTAAGTCTCTGCTGGGGCTCAACTCCTGATAGACTGTGAGCTAGCAGGCAGCCTGGGTGAATTTTTCTGAGAGCTTTTTTAAAGGCAGCACTTATTTTTCTATGAATGGGTTGCAATACAGCTTTGCTAGCTGTGCTTACGTTGATTTAATGTTTTTTTTTCCTAAGATTAAAAGTGTTTTTAAACATCTTATAATGATTCTTGCAGTATAATAGAGACAGTATTGGCTGTTGTAACTTCATGTCCATCTGTGTTCTTCATGTAATGTACACAGGGAAAGGCTAAAACCTTATTCGTTACAGTTTTGGTTGATTAAAGCAAACATTGAAATGATTAATGACGATTTCAATTTAATTAATCTATTTACAACATGTGGCTGGACAGAAATGGGACAGGGAAAAAGATATGTCTCATACACCCCACACCCATTAAATATATATGTAAAACTGCAGCTAATGGATTTTCATAGATAAGTGAGGGAAGTAGAAAGAAAATCAATATGAATGAAAGAAAAAAGGTTAAATTAGAGTATATAGACTAGAAATATCCGTTGATGTGGGTTAACAACCTTCGGCTCTATAGCGCCACCCTGGAGCTTTTTCAAAAAATTGATCTAAATGGAAAGACTGATATTTTTTTTGTTTGCTTGATTTAAAATTGTGTGTAGGAGGTCAAAAATGAATGCATTGTGTTTCTCAATGCTGTAAAAATCTGTTTATTAGATACATTTCAACAATCGATGGAAACATTTATGTCAGCCAAGATTTGCATCATAGCCGGCAACACGTTTCAGCATGGCATGGTATCAGGCAGGTGGCTGTTGAAAACAAACCGGTGGGTGGGTTTTAAGCCATGGATCCCAAAGGGACAAAAAGGGAAGATAGCTGATGTGAACATAGGATTCAAAGAAGAATGGACCGAATAATTTGCTTTCATTACCAAGGCGGAATGATTGCCTGCATGTTCTCTTTTTAAAGAGACATTGTCAAGTAATAAAAAGAGTAATTTGGAAAAACATTTCCAAGGAGGCATGCTAAATATGCAGCATGGAGTGAGAGAAGAAGTGTGATTGCAGGACTTCTGGATAAATTACAGGAGCGCAGATAGACTTAAGAAGTGCATCGCATCTACAAACTCCATTACCGCTGCTGGTTTTGTTGCAAGCAGGGAAAACCGTTCACAGATCGAACAGGCAGTGCTCTTATGCAGGTATGTTTACTTCCAACCATTTTTCCCCCCGAAAACCTCAAAATAAAAATAACAACAAAAATCGAATTTATTGTTTCTATAATTTCATCAATGCAACAAAACCTAATTAATTAATATTGTAATGGAATTTAAACTTTAAGCACCAAATATTGGTAGGCAGAGTAGTCACATGATGTGACATTTGCTCCAGGATGAACATTTAATCATGAATGCTTTTTTTTTGGCCCAATATGGCTCTTTGAAAAGTTTGGGTTGCTGACCCCTGGTGTAAGGAAAATGAAAAGCAAACAGAGTGCAAAAAAAACATGGGGAAATAAAGAAAAAAATAGACTCTAATGCACTTGAGAACTTCTGAGGAAATCACACAAACGGGTAATGTTCATTTTTAAAATGATTCAGGTTGCCATCTGGAAGAAACTACAACTGAACTCATGAAGATCCTGTGTCAAATCTTGAGGTGTTAGACTGCCCTCTAGCTGTGAACTAACAAATTAAATTAAGATTCAGGAAGGGTTGTTTATTGAAACTTGTATAGAGATTCCTCAGTAAATAACTTTAAGGTGCCTTATATTAACTTCAAATGCTAGATTTCAGGGTTTAGTTTCTGACCAGGGATTTTGTTCTATATTCTCCAATTAGGTTTCTATTACAACCTAATAAGAGGAATATAATATTGCACTCTGTAAGACTACTGTGATTCTGTTATTTGTGGCTCCCCACTGATCGGAGAGGGGAAGTGAAAAAAAGCATTCAGTCCCTGACTTCTGATTTCCCATTATATGGGATAAAACAAACATACCCGTCTGCTTGAGTTCTTATCTCATGGACCTTAAATCTCTGCCTCCCAACAGCTTTCACTTTCACAGTTTCAATGCCATACTCCTGCTCCTCCCGGTATGCGTATATCTCTGCCGTCGTTCCAAATTCAGCCTCCGGTTCTGCGGCATCACTGCAAGCACATAAAGAAACTCTGATGGACTGTTGATCCAGAATGCCTTTAAGATTAAAACAAAGTCTAACTCCTCTGACTATGATAAATAACAAAAATGGCATGCTTTCATTCAATATAGCAGATCCCGAATTTCCCCCACTACATGCCTGTGAGCAAGTACAGCAAAGGTCCGGTCCTTCTGAATAACGCTACGCATCATGCTGACTTCCTGCGGCCTGAAGAGCTGCAGGGGCAGCGTCTGACCCGGTACCAGCATCACGGCTGTGTGAGGCAGCACAGGGATGGTCTGGCAGCTGTCGTCATCGTGCACTGTGCGCCCGTGAAACTCCTCCATGTCTGAACCCAGGTACTACAATCAAAGGAGTTAGCATTTATTAAAAAATAATAATAATAATAATAATATTGAATAAAAGGAAACAAAATTAAACAAGAGGCTTGTGGTAACTGTGGAGGAACAGAAGGAATGCACAGCTCAGGTGAGAAAATCTGTCATTTTGATGGACATTCGCTATGGAAAAATGTATGGGATAAGGGAAAGAAACTTGGTGAAACTAGGTGAAAACAAAAATCATAAAGAATCCTGTTTGTAGTTTGCAACTAGCTATGTGGTAAAAATAGCTAGGTAAAAGGTTGCATCAAAAAACTAACCCTGCATATCCCCCTGAACACATCATCCCCACTGTTTCACATAGTGGTGTCAGCATGATGCTGTGGGATGCTTTTCAAGAACAAAATGGGAAAATATTGATGGAGTATAGATTGAAATAAACATATCTGTGAAGATCCTTAGTCATCCAGGTCATCGTGAAGCTTGAAAGGTTCCGTTTAGGCAACTGGACATTTTGCCTCTCATCCAAGAGGCTTCTTCAGTTCTAACTCATGATGGGGAGCATGCTCTTCAGAGTGGTTTCAGTCACAAGCCTCATTGAAGTGTGAGTCAGGTGAGGGCAGGTGAGAGGTGATTCTCCTGGGTATTGTTCCTAAAAGTGCTTTGTAAGTAGGATGAGGGTTATGTCTAAGACCACTGCCTCTGTTTAGAGATATTTTTTCCAGGTTAACCATCTTTCTTCCTTAGCAATAATATGGACGATATTGTCCACCTACAGTAATAAATCAATAAATCTCAGTACTCCCTGCAACTAGTTAGAACTGAAGAAGCGTCTTGGGTGAGAGACGAAACTTCTTCAAGAAAACTTCACGTCCAAATGCCTAAACTGAAACTTTCAAGCTTGATGGATATAAAAAGAACTAAGTTATAAAAGAAAACCAATTAGAGGCTGAAAAACCTTTGAGCCAGGAAAGGCCCCACATTATATTCTGGGGTTTAAACATATATTGCATGTATATGGTACATATCAATTGTACTATAAACGTATTATTTCTTTAGCTTTGTTTATTTTAGATGTTTACCATCTTCGTTTAAGGAAATGTGGATGGAGGGGGAGGAACATTTTACAATAGAAGCCTAAAAAAGGATTTGCAGAAAGGAATGATGACGTGAATCATCAGCTGCTGCTCACAGCATGAGATGTGGGAAGACTGGGGTCAAAGGTGATCACGTTGGGCTTTTCCGCCTCGTCGCTGTCTCGGTCCTCAGTCTCCATGTTATCTTCCTCCTCTTCTTCCTCGTTGTCTGTCAAGTAATTGAAGACAGGGAGAAGTGGGTTAATTCTATTCCTGCATCATCACTCATCCACAGCTACTGAAACCTGTCTATAAGAGCCAGAGGGCTGCTTTCAAAAGGTAAACAAAGAGAGAAAGTGAAAGGGATCAGAGATGGAAGAGTGATGGCTGTAGAAGCTGAGGATGGCCTGGGTTCAGGCTCTTTTATCAGAAGGAGGACATGAACCGTCTCCTGCTGACCCTGTCAGAGCTTTCTCTGCAGCTCATGGTTACCTGCTAGAAGCTGCAGGTGGTTCCCCATGTTGTTGTTAACGTTATCTTCGCCTCCGCCTCCCTCGTCAGCCATATCCCCTGTGTTTACAATGCCGATTCTTCTTCTACGGCTTCTTCCCTGTGCAGCGCCAACAGGAAGGCAAGGGCGCCACCTGGTGAAGGCAAAGATGAAACAAACGAGTTCTTGTCAGCATTAAAAAAACTGGGTCAATAATAATTTATTTGATATTTGACACTATTTTATTATTTGTATTATTATTTCAACTAAAAAGGTTAAAAAATTGAACCCATTAAATTCTTAATTAAATGTCCTTAAATATCCTCTATATCAGACATCAGTACTAGAGTGTCTTCTGTCAGAAGTACTAACTAGCTGCATTCCTGCCTGCAGCCAAACTGAACTGAACTATCATACAAATACTAGCAATCCTATTGTGTTACTATTAATAACTATCATAGAAAGCATAAAAAGAGTAAACACAATTAAAACAATAGGAAAATGAAAGTAATGAAATAAGACATTGAAATGACCACATTTTTCCCACCCCCTGAGTGTGACATTTTGTTGCATACTAAATACCACCTTTAATCTAGTTAATTCACAGTCCAAGTCCTTTGGCACAGAGGTTGGTCTTCAGTTGTTAATGTTTTGTTACCAATTCATACTCAAATTTTTCTCTGAACTACGACTAGGCTATTCCACCACATAAATATGTTCTGGTAAGCTCAGGATCACTGGGAGCAAAGCCTCTATTCCAGTATTAAGTTTTTTACAGGAATATGCAGGTTGTTCCCTTACTGAACATCATCAACTCTGACTTCCCCTTTCCGGCATCCCTGCAGCATGTTTCCAACTAGTTTTCAACAAAAGCTGTCTTTCAATTAACAGCTGTGTTTAAGCTGATATCAATTAATTACACCAATGTTAACCTGATTTGGTAGTTGGATGAATTGTGAAGACATATTGCAGTTCCAGATTTTATTTGGGGGTATCAGAGTAAAGGGTGTGAATACAAATGTAAAACTAGTTTTCTCATCTGATGGTTGCACAATTTATTTAACCCTGTAATGCCAAATGTATCGTATTTGATACATACGGTTTCTGAAATGTTTTGCATTTGACACCTTTTGCATAATTTAATGGTAAAAACTTTGCTCAAAATCCTATTGTACACAATCAGATATACCTGATAACAGAGGGCAGAAGACTACACAAAAAATAATCTTGACTTATCGCATAGTAATAAATTATCAAAAATGTATTTCTGTTTTTTCTTTTTGCATGTTTGTTAAAAGGCCAAATAAGGACTTCAAACAAAAAAAAAGTAATTTTCTGTTTTGTTTTATTCTTGGATCGGGCTTTAAAGGGTTAATGTCCCTCTGAACAGCCAAAGCCATGTAGTCTCTCTGCTTGACCTAAAGCTATTCAACGTACACATAGTACTGAGCTCATTTGAGAACCTACATTTTGCTCATTAGATAACTGTGCAGAAATACTAATGGAATCAGGAGCTTCAATGTTCCTGATACTCTACAACCTAAGTATCAGTTCCATTAAAAAGTTTTAAACATACCATCATTTGGACCCATGTTTTCTTTCAGGAAAAGCTATGATTTAAATTAATATATTTTAAGCTAATAGTAAATTCACTGAAATAATTCTCAGGATATTGATCTCCATGCCTTGGCCCCAGCCTTTAGAAGCTTCCCTGACTTTCATAGGCCAAGTATAATTTTAAAGTCATACATTAAAAATAAGTCAGAACTGTTACTTGCCAATTAGCCTTAACCTCATTATAGTTGGTAATTTTGCATTTATAAGCTCACAGTTGTACTTATTTGCTTATATTCTCATGTTTTCCCATGCTATGGTATTCTAATTTATGTAATCTAGGAAGGAAAAAAAAAACCTTCCTTCAGGTCTTGATATGGTAGACTTCAGCGGGAGGCAGTCAGCCATCACCACCTTTCTTCATACAATTGTCTACAGCACAGGTACTGCATTGGGGGTCACAAAAGTTCAGCTCGACTTTTGTATTCCCCCCTGCAATTTTTCCCACTTATTGAAATGTCTTTAAACTCACATTAATTCACACTGTAGTAAACAGATAAATGGAGGCAGATGTGCATTCAGCGACAGCTCTTTCAAGCTGAGCTGGGCACCGTTTCATTCACACCTATGCCATCAACCAGGAATCCAATACTTTAAACCCAGGGTGAAATTACTTTTGTTACATTACTCCTGGAAACCCAGTCAAGTGAAAAGGCCCATTTCCTTTAGTTTTACTCAGGATGCATATTTCCCCCCCTTTCTGTATTAGTCATAGGCCAAAATTTAAAACCAAGGGTTGAACCATTCAGTGTGCCAAGATCTAAGATTAATTTCCTGACATTTTATGATTTAGGAGACAATCTCACCCATCTTATAGAGACATTTTCCCTCAAATCAGCTACCATGAAACCTGATTTCAACGAATGAGGCATGACTGTTTTTGAAATTTAACAGTGTTCATTTATTGTTCAATACACCACATAACAGTTTGCAAGTAAACAAGCATCATGGTCCATGAACAATACAGCTGCACTTCTGATGACATCCTTCCAGCATCTTTGCCTTCTTCCACTAATGCATCCACAGCTTGCCAGTTTCAGATGGAAAAGAAATCAGGACTTGACACAATTTCAGCAGATGCTTCAAGAGAGCCACTTCCTGGGTGAATGTGTCCATAGATGTGGAGAAGCTCAGATGGGGGTCACAGCTGGCAGGGATGAGGGCTTACTTTGACCTCTGCCTCATCTTTCTCCTTTTACGCTTCAGTCTATTGGAAAATAAAGAAAACCAGTTTACTTTCACTTAAAAATACATCGTCAAAATCTGATCAAGCAACTCTTATGTTCACCCTTAAAAGTATTAGTTATCAATATGCTTGAAAAAGAACCCCCAAACAATGGAACTTTGTTCATACGGTAGGGCCAAATCGATTGCAACGTTCTTTAACAGCAGTCTAAATGCAATTTCTTTGGCCCTCAGGAAATATAACTTTAGTTGTAGGCTATCGTTCCCTTCTGCAGTTATGACCTTCATGCTCACTCTTCACGAGTTTGAATTAAGCACTAGACATTTTGTACCATCCATGAATCAGTTTACACCCAATTCAAACCTATGTCTATTGGCTGCTATAAGATAAAACATTTAATCCTCAACTATATTTTCCACCTGGAGACCACCCAATTACTAAGCAGTTTGTGGAGGTTTTTTCACTGTTTGAAGAATACTCTGATACAAATAAACTAAGGGGAATAAAAGAACACAGCAGCAGGAACAAATTGAATTTTGCTATACAAAAAGCAAAGAGTTTAATTAAAACCCCCTTTCAAAGTCACCCATATCATGCATGAGTCTCCCCAACTTGTCTCTGCTAGGGAAGTTGGATTAAAGTGCATCATGCAAGTAGGACATTTGAGTATTGCAGAACATCGAGGATTTGAGGCCCCGTCCACACGAAGACGAACCCTGGCCTAAACACACAAATTTTTCACCAAACCAGCCTCTCATCCACACGAAGCCGGCGTTTCGGGGGTCTGTAAACAATCTTTTTTTTATTCAGCCTTCAGAGTGGGAAGATTTCGAAACGCCGTTTTCGCGTTTCCATCTTTACGCTCTAACCGCATTTTTTTTTTTTTTTTTTTTTTACACGCATGCGTCATAACGTCGCATCTAAACACGCATGCGCGACCAGTATCACAACAACAATGGCGCCATTGCTGCTAATGCTACTCACCCTGCTGTCGGGCTTACAACAGAATCTTCTTCTTCTGGAATATCTCCAGGAAGAACAGAGCAATATCGACGACATAGTTCAGCACCTGAATTTGACTTAACCACGGAAATGGACCCGCAGGGCAACCATGTATAAATATTAGTGCGCATGCCCAACATTTCGTCGCTTATTTTTGCTTTGGCACCACAGCGCCACTTACAGGCCTGGCATACATTTTGCAGCGTTTTCATGCATTCGTGTGGACGCTCACATTTATCTTACGTCTCCGTCTTTACGGCAAACGTTTTGGAAAATATCAGCGTTTCGTGTTCGTTTTGACTTCGTGTGGACGGGGCCTGAGTTTGAAGGCCTGTTGTTTAAAGGCTACCAGAGTCTGCTTTACAGCTACATGCTCACCTTAGAACTTCCATCTTTAATACTGGGGTATTTCAGAGTTATTTAGCATGCCAAAAGGTTTGGCAAAGGCTTTATCAGGAAAGGGTTTTTCATTTGAAGAAATTACCAACTCAATTTTAGGTATAGTTTTTCAATTATTAAATAGGAAAACTTCGTTTTCCTATGCCCTATAAAAAGTGCAGCATTTCTCCTAAGGGGTCCCTTTCTGGACACATTCTATGCATCTTTATTTCATTTAAAGTGTACTGTGGTCTTACATTTGTACTTCATTGCTTATATTAGCCTCTGCATTACTACAGATCAGCTGAATTACCCCACAGTAATTTAACAACTTATTCATTTGATTCAGGTATGTTGGAGCAGGGATGCATTTAAAGCCAGCAAATCTGTAGTTCTAGAGTTTCTGTAATTCTGAACCAACAAGGGTTGTATATTTGTCTTTTTTACAGTTAAGGCATTAAAAAGCAGGATGCAATTAATACACTTTGTCAACATTTTCTACAGGCCATTAAATTAGGGAAACCATCTACTCTTCTAGAAGAAGAACTCATTTTAAACCACTCTACATGACATTTTCCTTAACCTAAAATGTACGTGTTAAGGAATGTTATGTTTAAACATTTGATGATATCGACATGACTACATTGGATGATTGAACTTTACCTATTATAGCTAATAAAGAATGACATAACTGCAATAATAAAATTGGCAGTATAAATGGATTGGCGGTTAAAAGCTTACCTGCGCATGCGCTTCTTTCTCCACTAAAACGAAATAAACAGATTGAGTCAGCATAGTTTGATACTAAAGTAGTAATTAGGAAAACATGCTTTGTACAAATAGCATTTAGAGCTTTAAATATAACAAAAATAAAACATGGCGTTCCTCTTGCTAACAGCATGCAGTGAAGCAAGGGCCTTCTAATGCAGATATCGACATAGCTGGGAATTAAGTACCAGACTTTAACATCTAACATTAGCAATAAAGAAAAGAAATAGCAGCAGTGAATACTTTAAAGAAACGTGCTAACCGATAGGGCTCGAGTAAGCAGCAGAGGTGGAACAAGCTAGCAGCACAAAATACGACAAGAAACTTTCCTATAAAATACAAACACTGCTTCTTAGTCTTACCTTGGCTCTCATCGTGTGGAGACCTTTCTGTGAAAATGACACAAACAACTGGTTAACAACTGCAGATGGAGGGTAAAAAGCAAAGATTAATTTGGATTCTGTTTTCGGTAAATCTATGCGCCATACCTCAAAGCGAGAAGAGCAACGGAAAGAGGATGTGACGACGAGGGCGCACAGCTTTTATAAACTAATGACGTCATGCAAGACCGGTATTCTGGGAAATGTAGTCCTGGCGGATTAACTTTATTTGGGAAAATTAAAGCCGTTTTATTCGCCTAACGACTTCTCATAACCTTGTATAAAATGGAGAACTTTAAATGTTTATTATTCTCTACTCTAAAATAAATGTGTGTGTGTGTGTTTTTGATGTACTTTTTTGATGAAATTCCTCATCAGGGTTTTTAGTTATGCGCACCAATGTAACAATATAACTCCTCTAATCACTGTTAATTTATGTGAATAAATAAGTGGGGAGTTGCGGCCTAGTGGTTAGTGCATGGAGTTTGTTTTCCGGATGCTCGGGTTGAGTCCCACTCCCACAGACTGCCACTCTGGGTCCCTGAGCAAAGACCCTTAACCCACACTGCTCCCTGGGTGCTGCACAATGGCAGCCTACTGCTCCACAAGGGGATTGGTTAAATGCAGAGGTACATTTCTCCAATGTGAGATCAATAAAGTTCAATTATTATTAAGTAGATTTTGTTTAGGGGGGCAATTCGCTCTTTGAAAAATTGGTTCAATCGTAACAATTTTCTGGTTTATTAACTGTTTGACAATACTACACTTTACTGTGTTATGAGGGGGTTCTCTCTAAATTTAATATTCCTATTATGGAGAATATGCAAAGGTTTTAGGTGCTATTTCTGTTGAGATGTTATTCAGACAGAGGTCAAGACTTTTCTCCTTCTCTGGATCTATCCTGCCCAAGACTTCATATCTGACATTGCTGTGAACTTTACTTTTTGCCATCTTCTCCCAGAATCTGTAATGCATTTGTTCTGGTTTTGTACTAATTTCTTTAGCAGCCTTTCTGTAACTATATAGCTTCAAACATTTTAGAAAACTATATATATACCAGGGGGAAACATTCTCTGAGTTTCAACAACACAGTCAAATGTATTTCAAGTTCTTTTTATTTCTAAATCATCCATGATAGATTTCTTGTGTATAAATGTAAATGTTTAAAGAAGAAAACAATTTTTTATATCTTCTTTATTGCATCTGCCAAGTGGGTGATGTTTTTAGGATTTTATTGACATTATTATCGGATTGCGCCAAGGCACAATCCATAGACTTTTGGTGATGATCCAGATCAATCTATAACATTGTGAGATAGGGATACTTGATGGAACAAGCAGTTCTCAAGTAAACCAGAAGGTAGCAGCAGTGACTTTTGAAAGCATCAGCATCAGATTCAAAAAGTAAACAGGTATTTTACTTAAGTCAAAAACAGAAAAAAGGGAACATTGTTGATTTGTTAGCAGGATCAATGAACAGATTTTAAGAAATAATTTTACCAGAGGTGTGCCTTATGCCAAGACGGCTTGGCGGAGGTCTGTGCTGTTGCACTACTTTACTAGTATAACTTAATAGTTACATACTTTTCGATTTTTCACTCATCAAAAGGCAAAAAATAAATAAAAAAATGGCATATAACCAGGCGTATCAGTGTCTTGTTGTGTTTTTGATGTTTTTTAAAGAAAAAAAAAAAAAGTACTCCTGATTGTCATGTTTAAAGTTAGGGCCATTTTTAAAAGACAAGTTTTCTGCTTGCTCATTTACTTTGGACTAATTAGTAATCGTATAATGAATTAAGTTGTGTTCTTAATTTTTAAAAGCTAAATGGGAAAAAAGAAAATTCATAAAATGATTGTAAACAATCTCAATACTTTCAGTCTATTTTATGTGATATTAATCTCTTGTCTGGCTTCAAAAATAAATAGGTCATATTCGGATGCAAAAAAGACTTTTAAGTTGTTTTTTTTTTTACGTTCAGTTGATACTCAATAGACTGCATCTGCTTCTTGTTGGTTACCATGGATACAGCCCAGAGGCTGGTGGTGATACCATGCTGACTAAGAAGCACAGATGTCTTAAGGAAGTCATCTGGCTTGCCTGAGAACATCAGTCAAATCCTGTTGCCTGCATGATTTCCGTCAACATCCTCTGGGCCAGAGGAAAAAAAAAATTTAAAAAAAGTTAAAACTAGATCCCCAGTATATTTTAGTAAGGTTTTATTTCACATACAAAAAAAAGATTGTGATGTAGAAAATTACTTTTTTAAAATCATAAATGTATGTAAATCTATATTGTATTTTTAGCGACTGCCTTTTGAAGTCAACAAATAAGTTAGTAGAGCCTGTGTACAATTCATTCTCATTATGAAACTAGTTTTTCAATGGCTTTGTGAGGAGATTAAAAGCAGAAAGCACCACAAAAAACAGGGATCAAAGCCGGATACCCATCAGGAATAAAACTCAGGAGGAGTTTAAAGCAGCAGTTAGGAAACCAAAAATATTTTATTTAACCAATTGAAAAACTGATTCATCCAACATCACAAAGTATAAAAAATGAAAACATTTTTTTAAAGCTTCTAGTAGAGCAAAAAAAAAAAAGTCACTGATGAATGCAATAAGTTGTGATTTGCTTCATCAAATTCATGAAACATATTAAAAATTAGAAGGTACTCTACAGCTACACAAGAGCACAAAAGCGCATGTACTTCCTGCAGAAGAAAACCCACCTGTCCCCACCCGTCCTCATGACCTGCTACAGAAGCACCATAGAGAGCGTTCTGAGCAGCTGTCTCACTGTGTGGTGTGGAAGCTGCAGCCCCTTAGATTGGAAGAAGGTGAGAAGAGTAGTTATAAGAGCATTCCCTCCCTAAGACATTTCATCCGAGCACTTCGTGACTCAGCCTGTAACATTATCAATGACCCTAACACCCCCACAATGGACTGTTCTCCCTGCTGCCCTCTGGGAAGAGGCTTCGGAGAATTCAGTGCAGGTCAAAACAGCTTCTTCCCCACCGCCATCAGAATGTTTGGGGGGAAAAAAGCTGAATGTTGGAAGAAAACTGAAAAAAAAAAAAAGCTGAAATTTGAAAAAAAACAAACTCCAAATCATGTATCAAACTGACCATATAAATGCATTTTTTGCACCATTATTTTTTTCTCCCAATGTTTACATTTGATCACCGCTGCACTTTAAGAAATGGAAATTTCCTGAGAGCTGTATTTAACTGAATTTTGCTTTGTATACACTCTGTAACAATAAAGTTTGCCTAAGTCTCTGGTGAGATGGGACCAACATCTGACACAAAATCTACTCTGCAGCCCTAACACTTCATTCTCTAAGTGTCACATGGCGGTTCCAGCATGGAGCCGTGTATGTGAAGATGTTTCCCTACAGGACAATCCTTGGAAGAAAATCTGGTTTTGTGGTGGTTTACCTTCCAGCAGGACAGCTCTAAACCAGTGCGACATGAAATGATAAGTCAGTGTGTTAGATTGGCTCATTCCTAATCAAAACTAAGAATTTCAGAAAAAAAAATCCATTCCCTTATGTTCTCTATAAATGTGGGACAGGGCAGCCTCTAAATGTGCAAAAACAGGGTGGCATAAGATATAAACAAAAACCTTTAACTGTAATTGCTTTGAACGGAAACCTTGACTCGAAGGGACTGAACACCAACGTGCATCACGTTCAGACGTTCATTAGTAAAATGCTCTAAAAAGTTTTATATTTTACTCAATTTTAGAAAAACGTTAATTGAAAAGGGTAATTAACATGCATTGATAAACTCAATTGAAAAACGTATGCGAGAAGCTGCATTTCAAAACGTATGGCCTAAATATTGTTGCATGCTTCTTCAAAAGCCAGAGGATAAAAACGCCACTATAGGTAGGTGGACAAAAAGCAAAGACACAGAATTGTATGAAAACATTTTATTTTTCACTTTCTTTTAGATGTAAAGTTACTTGTCCAGTGGTTAATTTTGAAAAGCAACATTGTGCTCCTCCCACTATACTTCATTGTTGACAAGTATGAACAAATTGATCTCAGACCTCAAAATGGAAACTGACATGAAATGATCTTATAACTCTGAAGACTCGTCTTCAAACAGGTTTTCCATAACTTTTAACAGCTTTTGTCACCATATGGCTAAAGCACAGTACAGCTGAAAATGCTAGAAAAGTTAGCGGTTTCTAAACTAGATCATAAGGTATTAATGTTTGTCATCATAAAAGGGGAATGGCAGTTAATGTAGCAGATTGTTCCCTAGTTATGTTTGTTTCCTCTTTTTTCCTTTTCTGTATACTTAAAATGTTCTGTCTGGCTCCTTTAAAATCTGGGAATTAAAACAAGGTTTCAAGGGAACACATGGAGTCGTTAAAAATAACTGTCTTATTCTTTTTAACCCTTTACTGCATCATATCTTCAAGAAAAATAAGGGATAACCCATGTATATTTTTAAAAGTGAATGTAAACTAGAAACGAGTGAAAATACATAAAAACTATATTGCTGTCAAAAGCAACAGCATTAGCTAAGTTTTTTACTAATAAGGCAAAAATAAATTCTACAAATATCTGAACTAAACATCAACTTGTTTCAGAAAAAATTCTCAGATTGGGGACTTTCAATAAAAGAAGCACATAACACCAAAATGAGGACTTGCTTTGCATCTCATTGACTTTTAAACAGGCCAATTTTCCTCGCTATTGAACCATATCAGGGAAGAAAAGAAACTTAAATGATTTTATCTATGAATACAGTAAAGGGTTAAGATAAATATCGATCTGACGCATGTATTTGTTTAAATAAATGTATCAGTTTAATTAGTCAATTATTTAATTGGCAGAGAGGTCAAGAAAACTTGTGATATTTAGCCTCAATTTTCTTTGGGGTCTTGAATGTTTTCGAAAGGCAGTTTTATTTATTTTTTATTCTGCTGCTTCCGTGTCCTCAGCTGGCTGTCCTGTTGCGTTTTCTGCAGTCTTTGAGGCCTAGAGCACAAAAGAAGGGAAGGATAATGGATGAGAGAGGTAAAACAGGCTGATCATTCGTTTCGTACAGCTAAAGGAAGTAAATAGCAGCACACTATCAAAATCTGAAATGTCGGCTGTGTCTGAATGTCCACCCTCAAGGCTGATTTGTACTTCGAAACTAGGTCGTCTGCGTAGGTGTCGCAGTGAACAAAAAGATGTCCCCGACCCCTCAGCAGACAGTCTGCTGCACCTCTAACAAACTGTAGTTGACAGCAGACAGTGCTGCAGACAGGAGGCTGACTTGTTTTGTTTTTATTACCGTAATTGTGCAAAACAACTCATGAAGTTGGACCAGCTAGAAGAGCGAGGTGCGTGAGAACGCTGGCACCCTTTTTCCACCTGGATACCCGCTCTTTTTCGCCCTCATGTTCCTCAGTTGTCGGAAAAACTCTCCCCCGCTTCGACCGTCTCTAGACCCAGAGCTAGTTCCTGATTCTCTTGTGCATAAATCAAAAATGTCTGCATGAAGCTCACTGCGACGGGGAGTATAACCAGCTCAGAAACACCTAAATCACCATGTAGAGCGGGGACTATATAGTGGACTTTAGAGTAAACTCAGTTAACTGACCCTTCAGACAGATGATCACTACTTTTTGTTCCCCGTCGGTCATGTGTTTCCGCCTCCCCGTACGGTGACCTTGTTATTTGGTCACCGCAAACCGCTGTGACAACAAATACCATAATGCTTTGCTCTCCTCGATAAGCATTTCGGGATACATCTGCTCCTCTAATGACCATGGATGATTACTACTCATCAAGGTGCATTCATCTAAAATGGCGTAAACACTAAATAGAGCCCTATATAGTGGTTAGGGCGGACATTAGGACACAGGCTTTTTTTTCTGGGCATCATTTAGTGTCATTACTGCGTCATTTACCTTCTTTTTCTTTTTCTTCTGTGTTTTACGGCTTGCAGAGCTCTGTAGTAAAGCCTACAGAGGAGAGGGAGAATCTAAGACACATATTGTTCACTTGTTAGTATGAACCTAAATCATAACGTTTCAGACTCTAACCTTTAGCTCTGGATCCTGAACTTCATGCTCTGACTTGTAGAGCTCCGGGTCAAAGGGTCCATTTGTGATTCTATGAGGCCCATTTGCCATCAGCAGCACTGTGAACTTAAACTGTGCAACAAATTCTCCTGAAAGGGAAGAACATAATGGGAAAAGGTTAATCTTACTAAATTAAAAGACATTGAAATGGTAGTTTAATTCAGGGGTTAGTGCACACAAAGTGATGCATTTCAGGAGGCAAGGAATTACCTCTATAATTGATAATAGTTTGGGCTTACAGGAAACAAAGAACCTAAAGTTTAATTTTCTTGAAAATTAGATTATGCAAGATTATAAAAAAACTTTCAATATGGTTACATTAGGGCCTACACAACCTGGGAGAAGACTGACTGGCTACGCATAGGTGTTACATCCACTCACATGAATGGAAAGTTGAGAAATAACTAAGAATTTTGGACTTCCTTAGAATCTCAGCAGAGCCGTAAGTTGATTGTCTTCACGTCACACTACTCTGATGTAAAGATTTAAGTTCTGGATGTATACACTCTGCAGCAGGGATGCGTAATTAGTTGCATTTTCAATATAATCATAATTTAACCAAAGGCAGTTTTGAAATCGAAGAGGATCTCAGTTTGTCATATTACTACAGTGGATCGACAGATACAAACAAGTAGCAAATGGTGAAATAAGCTGCAACAAAGGACCACGGAAACTCCAAAACATCCAAACAAAAACAAAGACAGACAACAGAAAAACACTGCAAACAAAAATGCTGGGATAACGGCAATAGAAGCAAAAACCTACCATATAAACAAAAGATGCTGTGACCACAGAGAGAAAATGATGTAAATGGTAAACAAAAAAAATGGTAAACTCGTGCCACAAAACCAAATTTCTCCAGACCACTAGAAAAAGTCTAACTGACCTTATTGGACCAGAGTGTTACTTATATATGTTACTATACATAAGTTTGTTGTTGTTCTATAAAGCTGTCAGATAATGCATTTGAAAATGAAAGGAAAGATAAACATCTCCTCTCTTCCTCCAACTTTCTTAAAAAAAATAAATATATATATATATATATATATATATATATATATATTAGGGCTGCAACTAACGATTATTTTGAAAATCGATGAATCGGCCGATTATTTTTTCGATTAATCGATGAATCGGACACAAAATATTTTTTTTATATTAACCTCTTTATTCCAAAATAAACATTTTAGACAGAACAAACAAGCACACAAGTACAGGTTGCTCATTAACTGTACTGGTGCAATATGAAAAATTAAATGTTTGTTTTAAAACTACGCAAACTTACATGAGAAATGTAGCTGTACATCCACAAAATATAGGGTACTTTGTTTCATAAAGCGCAAAAAGAGACATTTTTGTTTTTTAAAGCCCCTAAGGGGTTCAAACAATAGCCCCCCCATTTCAACAAATGAGTTTTTTTAGACTAGAAGAGTTCTGCCTTTTAAGGCAGGAAAGTATAGCAGTTAAAGTTGCTACTTGAGAAAATACTGAACCATAGAGATAAAAATAGCCCTGTGATTCAAATTATAAATTGTATTTGGAATAAAAATGAGAGAACTAGGGGTGGTAAAAAACACATCCTCCAAAGACAGATATTTACATGGGAATGTGGCAGATAATTAATTGACATATCACTGATCTTGCTGAATTTTATTCTGCTTTACTTCCATAAATTGCAGGATCTTCTTTACTTTATCTTTGCCAGAAGATTTAAACTTTAAAAGCCTTGCCCTCATAATTTGCAAGTTAATTTATTTATAAAGAAAATATAAACGCTGCTTAAGCTAATTCAAATGAAATTAAAAGTAAAATAAGTAGCCAACCTTATCACTGTCTATAACCTACTAACAAGCTAAGGAAAGCATCAGATGAGCTACCTGAGAAACTAACTTACGTTTCCCCACTTTAAAATGAAACAAACATGGTTACTCATCCTGCTGATCAGCTCTCTTCACTGCAATTGAAGGCTCCAACATGTTTTCTTTTCAGGTGCTGCGTCATAACAGTGGTGCTTCCGTGTCATGTTTATTTGTTTTTACAAAATTTGCATGTTACGACTTTTTTCACTTTACAAAGCGCAGGCTATTTTAATTATTGTGATCAATTTGCGCCTTCAATCCCGGGGCATGCGCGCTTCATTTGCAGTCTGGACGCTGAGGGTAAACTCCTCACTAAAATCCTGCGGCTCGGACTGCAGCGCTGAGAGGGATTCTTGTGGGAGAGGGAGAAAGGCGTTGGGATGGGGGAGGCGCCCCACGGCAGCAGCTGCCGCTGGAGGACAAGAGTAGGAACGATACATGCTTTCACGTAAGAGTCTCCAAAAGCCGCCAGTGACATCGTAAAAAGTCGCCAGATTTGTCGCTAGTCGCTTTTTAAAAAAACAGTCGCTGAAGGGGTCTGAAAAGTCGCTGAGTTGGCAACACTGCAACTGCGGCGCTGACTCGCTCCGCCATATTTTTTTTTCTTCCCCGGGATGACGGCGGCGGCGGATGACGCATTAATCGCGCGACACAACTAATCGATGATTAAATTCGTTGCCAACGCTTTTAAAAGTCGATTTTTATCGATTTTATCGATTCGTTGTTGCAGCCCTAATATATATATATATATATATATATATATATATATATATATACACACACATATATATACATATATACACACACACACACACATATATATATATACATATACAGAAATTCTGTGTTAAAAGCATAACTTTGTACAGAGGGTCTGGTCCAATATGCTTTGTTTGAATCCCTCTAGTGGTTTGGAACGCCTCAGTTTTGTGGCCTGAATTCGCCTTTTTGTCTGTCTGTGGTTGCAGAGTTTTGTTTACATTTGTTTAGTTGATTGTAGGTTTTTGCTTGAATTCTTAGAGATTGCAGCTTTTTTTTTTTTTTTTTTAAGCGTTTGCTGTTGCATTTGTTGTTTGCTTAGCTGTGTTTTCGAGTTTGCATCAAACATGTTTTTGCAGCTCAGCTGGTCATTTACTGTGCATTTGCACCTGTTGCAACTACTTGCTCCCTTTAAGGCTTTAGGTTGCAGTAATGCACTTAAAGTGGGTTTTCTCCCAAACACAGAGTTGCAGCACATGTGCAGATCCATGCTTGCAAATAAATGTAAGTACCTTTTATGCACAATAAAGCTCAATTCTTACTACTTCTCAGTTAACCAGCATTCTGTTCTCTAAAGGCTGATTTATGCTCAGAAACCAGGTCATCTGTGTGTGTTGCAGTTAACGCAGATATGCCCCGCCCTTTCCGCAGACACTCTGGTGCACCTCTCCAAAATTGTTGGTGACCGCAGACAGTGCCGCAAACAGGAGGCCTCTGATTGGTCAAATCTGCAGCTGCTCTACACTGCGTATTTCCTGTTTGGTACCTTACCAGCTTGTTTTGTTTGTATGACCGCCATTGTGTAAAACGACTCGTGAAGATGAATCAGCTAGAAGAGAGAGGAGCACGAGAACGCTGGGACCCTCGCCCCTTGCGTTTTTTTTAACTCAGCACCTCGGCCGTATCTAGACCCACAGCTAGTTCGTGATTGTGCCTTTTGCGTTGTGGCATGGACTAACATAACACAGACCACGCTTCAAAATTGGCCATAAATTAAAAATATCTGCGACAAGCTCACTGTGACACACTGTGGGAGTATAACCAGCCCTTTAGCATGTTTTTGTGGGTCTCATGTGATAATTAATTTTTTTGAGAAACTGAATGTTGGGTTTACAATATCTGTAACCCATAATCAAAAACTTAAAAAATGCATAACTTTGTTTGCAAAGATCCATCAAATGTATTGATATTCTAATTTCTGAAATGTGGCTTTATATATAACAGAGGGTAAAATACTCACCCTCCTTCTCATGAAGCACACTGAAAGGCTGCAGCAGCTCATGTTTGGCACACTCCACCACTCCAAGGCGAGCTTTGGCCTCGTCCTCAAAAGCCCTGATGGGAGAATCAATTGTGTTCATTGACCTGCTGTATGTGTAACTTTTCAGACGAGAGACGGTGGCAGGATCATCGAGCTGCATTCTAACCTTAGTGTGAATGGCATGGCATCGAAACGTCGCTCCACTTCGCTGAAAAACGTGCGAGAAGTCTTCATTTTCAAGCCATACTGCTTGCTGGGGTCCCTTTTGTAGATCGTGGTCCTCAGGCCCGAATCTCTGGCCTAAAAATTAACAAAACATGAGTTCAAATTTCAATGGTCTCAACAAAAGCAAAATCTCAAGTAGAAATATGCGACAGCAACAAGCAGAGATGATCCTTACCTTTCCCTCACCAGTACTGACCAGGACATCAACAGCATAGACCTCATGTACCTCAAACTCTGCCTTCTCATGGTCCTTTCTGGAAAACAAAATGTAAAAAGAACTATAAATAATAAGCAACTTTAAATACTCAAGGATATATTTAAAATAAAAAATTACCTTTGCTGGTCTGTTGGGTTCTGAATGATTGTTTTCTCTCCGTCTATCACATGCTGCTTTAACTGATGAGACAGCATACCTTCAAACCACAAAAACAGGCACGATGAATAATAATGCACATTATGCAATAAAAAAATTAAATAAAAAAGGATGCCATAGAAACATCTGACAATTTGCGAAAATATAACCATCATCCTATTATATGACAAACCAGACACTTACCCTCAATAGGAGAGCATTTAAACGACTGTGCGATCTTGTTCCAGGCCTCTGTCACTTGAGCGTTCTAGTAGAGAGAGAGGGGGAAAAAAGAAGATATTTTGAAAATTTTATATCTTCCAGCTTTAAAAGACGTAAAAATGTTCAAACTCCAGTACCATTTTTAATATGCATTATTGAAATAATCGTCAATCAATTTAGTAATCGATAAATCATTAATTAGAGTATAGCTGAGAGAGCAACCTAATAGAGCGGTAACTATATCAGAATTGTAAAACAAAAAAACACATTTTGGATTTAGTATAAAAAAAGGTTTTCGGCCGTCAATATTCTCTATCCAGAACTCCTCCAGTGGAAAAGTTTTAGCTTCGACTGGTTTACTTTTTAAAAAATATATATATTCTACAAGGAACCTTTGGCTATATGATTATTTATCAATTAATCAAGAAAATAATCAACAGAACAATCCATTTGCAAAATAATCATTAGTTACAGCCCTAATAGATAATGTTTATATCAGTTTATAATTTGCTGCATTAGCATTTAATGTAAAGAGAGAATGCTGCTGGAAAAACCTGAGACTAAGCTTAAAAGATGCATTAACCATCCATCTTGTGGGTTTTACCTGGTTCCCGGGTTTAACGAGGCGTAGAGCTGCTTCCGCACACAGATGTGCTGCTTTGATGACCTCAGCTTTTCGGCCTGTGATGGGGTTCTCCTGCAGCAATCGAATCCATCAACATAAGCAACAGTATTTTGAAAGGTGACAAAAACCAGGATCCCACCAAAAGTCTCACCTTATTGGCTCCGACAACAAAGCTGTGAGCGACGTTTGCAATGAAGCCATCAACGTGTACACCAAGATCTCTAAACAGGGTAAGACCGGAGTGTGAATATTCAGAGCAAGTTTAGCTGCCACTGTGTAGCAGATCACCATTAAAAGTAAACAGAAAACAAGACATCACAAGCAGGAAATGATAAGAGTATTTTCATTTGGGAATTTCTTTTTTTTTGGCTCTCAAACAACTGGATTAACAATGTAACTCTACAAACAATAACGGCATTAATTTGTATCAGACTGATTTTAAAAGCAACTCTTTATGAATTATAAAGACAAGATGAACAGATAAATTAACCAAAGCCCAAATTTGGCAAGTTTACCCATTATGGGCTCTGATCTAGGATTTCGAGCTAAAATATTGAATAATCAATGATATTCTCGTCTTTTAAATGCCTAACATTTTGTTCATCTTTGAAATAATACTGTTTTTAAAATGGCATCAAAAATAATTTCTAAAATATTATCAACCTTTAATGTGAAACTAATCTGCAGATTTACACCATTAACAGAAGTCTGTGTGGTGCAAAAACTTTAAACACATTTAAAAGATCCAATAACCGGGTTGCATAAGTGTACACACCCACTAATACTTTGCTGATCCATAATTTAGTTTAACCTCAGTGTTCTTGCTACTTGAATAGAGCACTGCCAATTACAGCCAATCAGCTTAACTAGATATAAACTTAAGGAATCCTGGTAGGCTGTCCCTGGCCTCTGCATTCTTTAGCTAATGACACAAAGAGGTACCGACTAAGTCTGAAAATAATCTCAATGTACTAATGTTCCATTAAACAGGAGGGCATAAAGAGACAGTGGAGTCACAGAAACAGGAGATGAGAATGAATCTTCTCATTGAGAAGTTGCAAAGCTTTCTACCCAGTATAGGTGGTTTTCAATTAATCATTCATTGGCCAAATTCCAGACTAAGTAGTAGGTTCAAAAGAATTATATTTCACTAAAAAAAAAACATCTGGGATTTCTAAAACCTACCACAACTTTTTAGTTCAATCTGTTATGGTCTCATCAAACCAGACTAGAACTTTTAGCCCCAAATCCAAAAATAAGTTTGCCAAACCCTGCGGCTCAATAACATGTATATACAGTGATGTGAAGTGGTGCAGGTATCACGCTCTGGGCTTCATCGAAATAAAATTTGTTAGGGGGAGGAAACCAGAAAGCGTTTTAAATAAAAGTCTGACCTAAAAATCATCTGAGTCTGAAATAACAAAGAACTTCAGAGAGTCCAAGTGTGTCCTCTAATGTAAAATTATGATCATGCAAAATAAACAAACTCAAGTTTAGGATTGGTCTGGCCGATTTAAGAACCAATTTGAAAAAAAAGAGACAGTGTTCAGAGATCAGTTAAATAAAAAAAAAAATAAAAATCAATAGGATCACCAAAAGAGGTGGGCAAATGGTGTCCTCTGTTTTAAATGTAATCTCTAGATGCACTCCTCTGAACATAAGAAAAAAAGACCCTCATCAGGAGATACAGACAGAAGCAGCAATAAAAACCACTGCAACATGACTTCATTCGACATAGAATTGTAGAAACTTTCGTTGTTTACCAAAGCTAATCTACCCTGGAGAAACCCGCAATCAGCTACAAAGAAAAACTAAGAATAACACACTGGAGACACAGCAGTAACATTATTGTAGAGTGTGGTACCTACATTTTGACCAGATCCCCATCTTTAAGTATGTAGTCTGGGTCACTCTTCAGGGGGGAGAAGTGGCAAACACAGTTATTGACGGAGACGCTGGTAGGAAAGGCAATACCTGGAAGATGGAGGGAGATTAAGTTAGAAAGAAACTAAAGATGTATGTTGATAATGATTTTTCATCTAGTTCGTTATAAAATAATACTGATAGCAGCTGGTCAATTTAAAACCAATATGAGAAATCTAGATTGATCCAGCTGAGCTAGATCAAAGATAAAGACACCATCTTTTCCAGACCTTTCTTCATTTCCTTCTCCTTTTTGAAGACTTTTCCAGTTTCAGTCATGATGTAGGCGTCGCCTACCTCACACAGACTGAGGACGGAGACCCCGGCTTTAGCTGCCTCCACAACCTTACGGAGAGCCTCTGTAGAGGAAAACCGCACAGTGTTATTAAGCGGAACAGTCTAGTAGCTGAGCAATGTGACTTTTGACTCTGTTTCATGAGCGGTTCTGGTATTTCAACACACTAAAGGGGTTTAATTGAACTGCAATGATCCATCTACCTAAAGCTTTGTTGCTGTTCAACCCTCTGTGATGCAATACCCAAAGGACTGCTTTATCCCTGTGATTACCTGCAGGTACATTCTAGGCAGGTAATAGAAGCCCTGATGTGAAATACAGTGTCTGGGCTTTTGTTTAACAATCTTCTATTATTCTCTGGTTTAACCATAATAGACATATTATACAGGGTACAAAATACAAAAAAACAAAACAAAAAAACACTAACAAAACAGGGCATTTCTCATAAAGATGCCCCAAAATTTTAAACATAGGAAACCAAATTGCTAACTTTTAATGGTAACCTGAAATGGTTAAACCTTTTTCTGGATTAAACAATAAGACAAACAAAAAAATGAATGCATGTAATACAGAAAGTTTAAAAGACTTGTGTCTTATTTTCATATAAAGACAAGAGAGAACATAAACAAATCTAATTTATCTCCTTAAATATATTTCAAATACTTTATATTGACTTCAATCATTTCTATACAGGTTATGGTTATTATTAGGCAAATATAAGCTCCTAAACGTTGGTACGAGTAGTTAATGTCATAGTAAAGATTGAAGAGTAATGGCTTTCTAAAGATATTTGTAGCTTAGCTAAAGGAAAAAGCAAAAATATACAATCAGCTCTGTTATTTGTCATGACGACTGTCTAATAAAAGCAGGACTTAGCCAAATGGGTAAGGAGATTGAGTTTCCTTCTCGTCTTTCGACTCAGATGCGTTTAGTTAAATAAACCACCATGTACCAAGATGAGCTAGCTTAATAATTAGCATCTCACACTACTTTAACTGCTCTCACCAGTTATAATTATCAAAAATCAAACTTGGACTACACCAGCTAGCTTTAGCTAACCCGTCTATACAGAACTGCAGCCGTTGCACCTGTTAGTCAGCAGTCTATGTTAGCATACTTGCTTCATGAATGTAAAAGCACATGGCTGTAGCGGCAGCTGTATGGAAAACGTTAGCTGGCAGCGCGACAGGCCGTTCCTATCACTAATGGTTTCTATTTTTTTCTTTAACTTACGGTTGGCGATGTCACCCCCCATCTTATACTTGGTGACCACCAGGTCTTCGGCTATTGTCTGCTCCTGCTCATCGTCGGACATGTTGGCAGTGAAGTTTCCGTCGCTCCTGGGCCCAACGAAGCGACTGTTCTCAGCAAATGAGTTCGGCTCTGACCGCTACGTTGCTGTACGCGCGCGAGCCTCCGGATGCAGTACAAACTCCACCCACCTCCGGTGTTCACGTCACAGCACACCCGGCCCGCCAAAATAGCGGGATGTATGGCAAGTGAAATTCATATTTTATTTCTGTAAAGCAGTTCTGAGAGTTTTTCTCCACTGGGCCAAAATACTAGGGATGTTTTACACCATTAATAATAATATTAAAATTACTAAATAGTCCTGCCAACTCTGACAACACATTTAGTTACTTAAAGTCCTTATTTCCTTTGTAGTTTCCAGTTTCTTTTATATATCATTCTATATTTCTTCTTTAATGATCTTATTCTCTAGTGAGTCCTTATCAATTTTATTCTTGTATGCAATTGTTTATTACATTTAGTCTGATATATCAGGAAAACGTGGTATTGTGTTGTTATTGCTGAACGTTGTGATGAGAACATAAATTGCAGTTGTCCTCTGTTGAGATTTCTTCTTCTTCTTCTTCTAGAATTTATTGGCGGTTGGCAAACAACTATATGCTATATATATATATATACGGTATATATATATATATATATATATATATATATATATATATATATATATATATATATATATACCGTATATATATATATATATATATATATATATATATATATATATATATATATATATATATATATATATATATATATATATATATATATATATATATATATATATATATATATATATATATATAGCATGTTTGTCCTTATCCACACTCCTTACTGGTTGGTGGCGGTAATGCACCATATAGTTGTTTGCCAACTTGTTTAGTGAAAAGAATATAGTTGTTATATATTATATAACAACTATATTCTTTTCACTAAACCTGTTACCAATAAATAATGAAACATAATTCTATGACCTAAATCGTAAGTGGTTTTCCTTAAAATATTTATTTATGTACTTCTCTTTTTCCTTTTCAAGACTCCTTATCAGCTGTGTTCTTTTTCTTTGATATTTCCTACAGTTATGCGTAACATGTTCTATTGTTTCAAATTACCCACATACATTGCAACTCCCTGTTTCATGTTTTCCCATTGTCGTGAGATTGATTCCTGTTGTATATCTACAGTAGTGGTAGTTCGGCTTCCTGACCACTGGGGGAGCTCTAGGAAACTAGAGCGACACAGGTTCGAATAAGAGAGTTGTACGTTGTTACCAGATGCTCCAACAATAATAAATGGAAGCACCGCTTTCCAACTGGAATAACTTTGTCTGTCTTCCCTCATAACATGACACCCATTAACTTTAATGTTGAATTAAGTCCTGTATGTCCCAAACGTAGTTTTCTTATTATCTTTTCCTGTATTCTGTTCCTCCCAATTTTCCCTCGAACTTCCCAAACCTTCCTTTGTATTCTGTAAAGCCACATTCCTTTTATATCTTCTTCCTACTGTTTTTGACATCTTTCTTGAATCTTTCTTTTAATAATACTTTTAACCTCTCATTCACTCTTACTTTTGTTTATCGACTCTTTAGCTTTCTTATCAGCCATTTCTCTGGGTGTCATCCTCGATAGCACACTATCTTTCCAATCCCATATAAATAACATTACCCGGTCTGCCTACTTCCACTTAAGAAACATCAACCGCCTCCGTCCCTCCCTTACCCCACACACTACTGCCATACTTGTGCACAGCCTTGTCACCTCCCGACTAGATTACTGCAACTCCCTCCTCTTTGGACTTCCTCAGAAATCACTCCACAAACTACAACTGGTCCAGAACTCAGCTGCTCGCATCATAACAAGAACTCCCTCTATCCACCACATCACTCCGGTCCTCCGACAGCTCCACTGGCTCCCCATGCAGTTCCGCATTCAATATAAAATTATCATGATGACTTTCAAGGCACTTCACCACCTCGCCCCCCCATATCTGTCAGACCTCCTGCATGTTCCCACCCCCTCCCGTGCTCTTAGATCCTCATCTGCTTTGCACCTGTCTGTCCCCTCCGCCCGTCTCACCACCATGGGGAGCAGAGCATTCAGCCACTCTGCCCCCAGCCTCTGGAACTCTCTACCACCTCAACTTCGAAATACGGACTCAATTCTCCATTTTAAAATGCAACTCAAAACCCATCTGTTCAAGATTGCTTATTCTCTTTAAAAATATAAATTTCACTGTCACAGCCTCTGTATTTTTAAAATGTTTTTAAATGTCTTTATAATTATTATTTGTATTTTTTCTGACACTTTTTATGTTTTGTACGGTGACCTTGAGTGTCCAGAAAGGCGCCTTTTTAAATAAAATGTATTATTATTATTATTATTATTATTATTTCATTACCTTTCACTCCTATATGTGCAAGTACCCAAAGAAACACTACTGTTAACCCCATCATTTGAATATGATACAATATTTGTTGAATTTGTAATAAAATATCTAGACAGCTTTCTGAATAATTTCTTTGTAAACTGATCAATGAAGAACTTGAATCTGAACATATAACAGCTCTTAGTGGTCTCACTTCCTCAATCCATTCTACAGTGACAAACAATGCAATCATCTCTGCCATATAAAGAGATAACCCTTTATTTAATTTCCTCCCTATTTGCAGTTTAAACCTCTGTTTAGACCTTTCACTTCCTTCGTACCTTTACAGTGGCAGTTCTTGACAAAATTTTCCACTGGGGGCAGCGTGAGCCAGTGTTTTTTCACAGGGTACAGAACAACAAAAACAACAACAAAGACACAAACCCAGGGTTACATACTCCTGATTTTACAGATTAAATGTGATTGCATCTTAATATGGCTGGAGTTTAAGACTGGCTCTAACTTTAAAATTGTAAAGGTGAAATTAAACTGGTCCCAGTATTACGCTGGTATTACTCTGCAAAAACATATCCAAAAAGGTAAATATTTCTTAAAATTATTTCATTTGCCACTTATGATTATATAAAGAGTTTATTTTTTCATATTTTAAATGTAAATAATCTTATTCTTTTGGAAAATTGTCTTTCATGCTCAAATCAAGGGAAAATACACAAAATAAAAAAAAATAGACAAGCTGAGATGTAAATTTTTTGCTATGTTTGCAGTACAGGGGCCATAGCAGGGGCCAAGATCTGTTCTACAGGAGCACTGGTCCCTTTTGGCTACTGTCTAGAACTGGTCATGCACTATTATGCCCTGAGAACTAAACTAGAAACAGAACATCAGCTCCCTTACAAAGACAGCTTAACAGAGGATTTACTTCTGATGGTAACTGTTCTAGTTTTACGCTCCTGTTAGGATTATGGATACCATCTTCACTGATCACATCAAGTCTATTCTCGCATCACATCATCATAGTCATAGATTTGCTGCAACAATTACAGCTGAGAGTGTTGCCAATGTTGTCTTTCTTTGGGGTGTTCAGCCTAAGGCTCTGCGGATATGTAATGGAAGAAGTTACTTTGATAACAGGCTAGCAGCCTTCAGGCAATCTCACCCCCCTCTTAACAATTCTCCTTCAAGCCAGTCGGCTGGCTAATCCCGCACAAAAACACCACGGACATTTAACTACAGATGACCAGCACCAGTAAATGATATGACATCCTTAACTATTACTGATAGTGAAACCTTCCCCCTGGGCCTTAAACAACATTGATTTTGAACCTCTCTACTCATCATCCAGACTATGGAGACATGGAGATGATTAGTTACACTTCAGTTTTTTTAGGGCTGTCAGAGTAGTTAAAAACAATAGAAATGCATGCTATAATTTTTAAGGGTGCACAGGGTCTCAGTCTGAATACCTCAAAATTATCAGAACACTTAGGCTATTGCAGAAGTCTGTCAGAGGTTGCCATAAGATCTATCCGAATAGTGCTGGCTAGTTAGGAAGGAGTTGTTGGAAGAGGAGACGGTATGCTTCCTAGTGCCAATTAATTCAAAATAAGGCCCCAACCGCCACCACTAGCTAAACTGTTACAATCTTTCATATGACAGGGCTTATAGACACATCCCACCTCATGGAGCTTAACAAAAATACACTAGTTCTTCACATGTACTCTTTGTGAAACATGTAGATGTACACACCTTCATTTATTTTGGGTTTTAGGAAGAGCTTCAGCCATTCGCAACAACAATGTAACTTTTGATTTTGTAGTTCTTATCTGGAAGGCTCTAGTCCCAATTTGATCGTCGTTCATGTGCGTCCATCACGTAACAATGTCTGTAGGGTTAAACACCAACTAGATTGAAAGGATAGGCGCTAGGAACAGGAGGTAGGAGCTGCAATTTACCGTAAATTGAGACTAAAGGTTTGTGCTTGTTATACTTAATCCAAATTTAATATTCACCAAGTAGCAGTTAAGCCAGTGATAAATATCCAGGCATCTCAGCAGAAACAGTTTCTTCAAATCTATATTTATTAATTGAGCAACCTGTAATCAAAACATGAAAAAAAAAAAAACTTCTGTAATTTTGTATTTTTATTTAACCATGTACAAAACACATTTAATTTATCAAGGCCTTAAAACATACTGATATGCCTTGTTCTAAAAAAAAATTACATTCATTAAAAAATGTAAACAGTAGTATGTAGCTTGTAGTCTGTTCATTTCTTAGCGTTTTAAACACTTAGTGCTTTTAACTTCGGATATGCCCATATTTACAGGACTAAAACATACTGGCAAAGTGTATAATTTTTGACAATTGCAAAACAGATTTACTGTTATCTAGTGAGAAACATTATCCTAATTTTTAGTTTAGATTTAAAATCTTGTGCAGAACTACACAATCCCTGAAATCGTAGAGAGGTAGGCAAGCACAACGCTGACTATTAAAGAGCATGTGGACACTGGCATCTTTACACATGGCTAAGCCAGTAAGCATTATGATGTTATGTTATATTTAGTCCAGCCTTTATTCTGCTAACGTTCCTAGAATTCAGATTTGTCACGAAGTCCTTCCAGTATAGTCTATTCCTTAAATTGGACATCAACAGTATTCCATACTAAATAGCAACATTGCCTTATTATTTACACATTCATTTGATCCTTTAAAAGTATAAA